ATCAGTGTGCAGCTACATCAAAAGAGCCGTATACATGCAATCAGCGTGCAACTACATCAAAAGAGCAGTATGCATGCAATCAGCGTGCAGCTACATCAAAAGAGCAGTATATATGCAATCAGTGTGCAACTACATCAAAAGAGCAGTATGCATGCAATCAGTGTGCAACTACATCAACAGAGCAGTATGCATGCAATCAGTGTGCAACTACATCAACATAGCAGTATGCATGCAACCAGTGTGCAACTACATCAAAAGAGCAGTATGCATGCAATCAGTGTGCAACTACATCAAAAGAGCAGTATGCATGCAATCAGTGTGCAACTACATCAAAAGAGCAGTATACATGCAATCAGTGTGCAGCTACATCAAAAGAGCCGTATACATGCAATCAGTGTGCAGCTACATCAAAAGAGCAGTATACATGCAATCGGTGTGCAGCTACATCAAAAGAGCAGTATGCATGCAATCAGTGTGCAACTACATCAAAAGAGCCGTATACATGCAATCAGTGTGCAGCTACATCAAAAGAGCAGTATACATGCAATCAGTGTGCAGCTACATCAAAAGAGCCGTATACATGCAATCGGTGTGCATCTACATCACAAGAGCAGTGTACATGCAATCAGTGTGCAGCTACATGAAAAGAGCAGTAGACATGCCATCCTAATGCATGAAGTGTTTGTATTCATGACAGCGCTCCTTTTCGGCTCTTCTCATTTGTGTCGAATCAAGATAAAATTTGGACGCCATTGAACACCATTTTTTAGTCCTGCGTGTATTGTTTTTGTAGTTAGGGTGTCTCGGATCGTATACTTCAGAGAATTATTTTTTTCATTCTACGTTCCAGTGTGGTACAGTGCATTTGTGACGCGTTCGGGTGCAGAGAAAATGTGACATGCAGTATTTTTTTCCCCTGCACTGGAATGGACTGCACTGGTGTGAACTGAGCCCAGCAATTACATACACATGCATTGGGGTGCATTTTTGGTGCGGAAGAAAAATGTAACGTACCGGATCTGATCCGGACATGGTGTGACTGGGCCCTCAAATGGGATTTCAGGTGTGTTTACATGTGTTTTGATGCGTTCTGGTGCAATCCAATGCAGCTAAAATAGAGCAAGCAGTATTTTTTCTGACTGCACTGGTGTGAATAGAGCACCAGAAATCCCATAGGAAAGCATTGTGATGTATTTTGGCTGCAGCAGCCAAACTGAACGGACTGCATCAGAACGGCATCTGGTGTGAACTAGCCCTGTGGTATGCCTTGTTTATTTGTGATGCCATTTTACTTGAGAAATGACCAATGTAGGCAATACAATGATACCTTCTAAACAGTTATGTATTTCATTTGTCTACTTAATTTCAATATATGTTACTTACAAATTCTTCAACCTTTTGCATATTATGCTTGGTGAGAATGTGTGCAACAGAGGAATACACACTGATTCCAGCTTTTGTCACCAGGCAGCCTGCTCTGAACACTAGAATGAAGCTGTATGTAGGCACAGGCAGAGTTAGTCATAATACATGGCACAGTTGCTATAGCAATGTAGGCCATGGCATGCTGATGACAGTCTACATTTGTATAAGGCAAATGCCCAGCTTGTGAATAGTGACAGTTGGGAAAAGAAAAAAAAAAAAGGCGATTATGTATGAAACGTGCTAACTAGAACATTTCCTGCAAGAAGTCAGAATCTTTGTTTTAAAGGTGAGATCCATAAAATATATTTGGAGGGGGGTGGAGGGAAGTGTCATGTGTTCTTTTTTTTTTCTCTATAGGTTGAACTCGATGGACTTGTGTCTTTTTTCAACCTGACTGACTATGTAACTATGTTAAAGAAGAACTATGGGGTCAGGGCTTTTCCCTAAAGTTCTCCTAAGGGTAACGGGAGGACACAAACTAGCGCCCTCCCGTCACCCAAAGCTCAGTATACTGAGACGCCTCAGCCGGGACGGATCCCGACAATACTGTCTGGATCCACCTAGCTGTGTGAGTGACAGCTGGCTCTGCCTATCTAGAGGCAGAGCCAGCTGTACCCGCCCCCTCCCTTGTCCGTTCCGCCAGTCAGCACTGGAGGATCGGACAGGGGAGGGGGAATCCCTGCAGGGAGCCGTGAGTGACACGGCTTTCTGCAGGGGCAGGATCGAGAAGTGAGGGAGCGATGGTATGTGTTCGCTCACTTCCCGATCTATTGAGCCGACGTGTGACAGTTTCATTGTCACAGGTCGGCTAGAACTATGAGGCTGAGTGAAAAGCACTCACCTCATAGTTCTCCTTTAATCACACTTACCCCTTGTGCTGTCCTTTCTGAGATCCAGGTGCCTGATGCACATTGGTACCTTTAGCTCAATGCTTCTGGTATGCAATTTTTCCTACCAGTCTTGTTATTTTCCTAATGGAACTCGTCACTGCAAGCAGGGCAGTCTTTAATATTGATTGGACCCTGGGCAAATATTTTCTTGGGCCCCGCCCCTACCCACCAAGCCACGCCCTTTCTGCTGCCTGTCTGCAAGGGGATAAGAGTCTGTTATTGAGCCTGTGATCCCCGTGCTCTCCCCCCTAATTCTCCTGGTTTCCCTAATCCCCCCCTGCTGTTACTTGCAGACAGGCAGCAGATCGAGAGATCAGGACTTTTGTCCGCTCTGCCTAGCAACTGATGATGTGATGGGCGGGCCGAGGTACGTAAATTATGACAGCTCGCCCATCAGCATCATCAGTTGCTAGGCAGAGCAGACAAAGGTCCCGATATGCTGATCTCTGCTGTCTGTCTTATCTCTGGAGAGATAAGGGAAACCAGGAGGGTGAGGGCGGAGACGGGACGGGACACTGACATCCCGAATCCCCAGGTAGGGAGCGAGCAGTGCAGACTCAAGGGGCGGCTGCTTTGGGCCCCACAACAATAACTGGGCCCAGGGCAACTGCCCCTTTTGCCCTGCGTTAAAGACAGGCCTGACTGCAAGTGGCAGCACCATACACTTCTATTGAAAAAACATGAATCCAATATTCCCCATGTTCAGTGCCTCCTCCTTGCAGTGAATAACAGTTTTTATATCGGTGCAATAGTGAATATTTCGATAGACACACTCATTCTTTCATTCTGCTATGCCTGTAGCATGGAGTTTACCCTGAAGTGGTACCCACTGCCATAACATGTTACATACCTGTGAGGGAAATTCCTAGTCGTCAGCAGGGTCACCAGAACTAGTTTTTGGAGTGGAGAGGGATTAGAACATCTGTAAGGTTGTCACTATTAGCTGAATTTATTCTCTCGATTTGTATTGGTGACCATTGTCAGTGAGTGAAATCCTGATGAAATCCCTTACAATGGATGCTGCTCCTTGATGTTTAAAAGTTTTAGTTTCCTGCAGAATGAGCTGGTCTCCTGAGCACTGGTCCCGACTTCCTGTTTTAGGGTGGCTCCTTTCTCGAGCAGAGTGCTATGCAGTCACCCTTGTGTGTTTTGTAAGCTGTGAGCGTCTCCACAAACACACAGACACAGCAAATCCAGCCACTCCCCCCCTCTATAAGCTACTAGATCAGGTGTCTCAAACTCAATTAACTCCGGGTGTCACTCAACAAATGTTTTTCTCCCATGGTGGCCGCTTGCCATATTTCATACTCCAAAATAAAATGTAACTATATGCGATATGGTACTACGGACACCATAACACACACACATTAAGGCCCCATTCATATCTGTAAGTTTAGGCGTGATTAGGGATTCCTGCATCAGGAACTTGCGTTTTCTTGCAAGAGGGAAATCCCAAGCGGCAACTGTCACCCATTCAAGCTAATGATCAGGTGACAGCAGTTGTATGTAAACGCCCACACACCGCATGTAATAGTGATATGAAAACATGCGGTTAGAAAACACTCTCCCTGGATGCACAATCGATGCATCTAGGGAGAGTGACTGATTCCCAACTGCATGCAATCATATTACATACCATTACATGTGGTGTGCTGGCGTTTACACGCAGCTGCAAATAAAAAATAATACACTCCGCCTCCCCCCATACAAAAAAAACCTACTCCTGCACATGAAAAATAATACACGCCCCCCCATAGAGAATTACTACCCCTGTAGATTTAAAATAATAACTCCCCCCATACACATTAAACAAATACCCCCCACATATAAAATAATACAACCCCATCGTGGGCCGGTACTTTAAGACCTCTGTAGTAAATGAACAGCTGCTGGAGTCTGCACTTTCCTTTGTGATCTTGTACAGGACCGGAAGTTCAGGGAAGCTGAGCTGAGAGACTTGGAAGCAGCTGTTTAGAAACATGATGATTGTAAGGGTTTGGGGAAACATTTTAAAAAAATACTTTGCTGCGCAATGTGTATTTGATCAGGATTCATTATTGATTAAACTTTGAGAGTTTTAATACTACTTTAATGACCCTGCTGATCACCAGAGTTCCCACTCTTCGGAGGGATTTCCTCTCACTTCCTGTTGTGGCTATGGGACAGGAAGTAAAAATAAATGTCCCCAATGGGACACGGATGGCAGTTAAAAATCTGATAGGCGTTATAAAACTTAATTATTCTATCTAAAACCAGAAAAAAAGTTTTGCCTTTGGTTGCACTTTAAACTCCAACTGTTCTGCGTTCGTAGATTTATAAATGAGCCAGGCTTTGGCTGCTCAACTCACACACAAAGTCAGACCGCTCATGCTGTATTCACCTTCCAGAAGAGCACAAGCTGCGCAGCTTTGTACTCATCCACCAATCACAGCGCGCCTGTCATCCCGGAGAGGAAGTTTGGGAAGAGCGCTCCTCCCGACCGCTTCGCACGCAGCGCCGATTGGCTTGTGGAGGAGCTGTGGGCGTGGTTATGCGCAGCTAGGGAAGTGTATTGCAGTAAATCGCCTAAGAGCTTCCGGTATAGATTGTGTACACCTGGTACACGGAACGATCGCAGCGGACTGAGTGTATCGGCTGCCCAGTACGACTCGTCAGGTTTTGTGCTGACCCGTACCGCTGTGTCTCAGGTGGTGGAGAGGACTCTTCACAGCAACAAGTCCCCGGTTTCTGGATGCGGTGCGGGGCTCTGCTCTGGGGGCTACCCCTGATCACAGCCAGCTGAAGGGGCTATGACGTCTGTGACGGAGGCTGGAGCGGCAGTAACGGCGGACGGGTCAGTGACATCGGTGTGGAAGGCGAGAGGTGACGGGGCTGTCCGTGGAGGAGGAACAGCTCAGCCTGACAGCGGCTCTCCTGCCAAGGTGAGAGTCATTGTCTGCTCTGTGTGTTTGTCTATGGACGGCTCACTGGCAGGTGGAAGTGTGTGTACACTGGACTCCACTCTGCACTTCTGTGATCATCACCTGCCTGCTTCTCTCCACATACTTCCTGAGGAGATCATTCCACTCCAGGTGTATGGGGGGGGGGGCTTGTTTGGAGGGACATGCTCAGGGACTGTCATCCTCAACCCTTTCTTGAGTCACTGAACTGGAACAAGCATGGTCCAACTTAAAGGAGAACTATGAGGTGAGTGATTTTCACTCATCCTCATAGTTTGAGCCGACCTGTGACAATGAAACTGTCACACGTCAGCTCAATAGATTGGGAAGTGAGCGAACACATACGCTTGCTCACTTCTCGATCATGTCCCTGCAGAGAGCCGTGACTGTTACTCACGACTTCCTGCAGGGATTCCCTCCCCACTCCGATCCTCCAGCGCTGACAGGACGAGCGAAGGGGGAAGGGGGCGGGTACAGCTGACTGCCTCTAGATAGGCAGACCCAGCTGTCAATCACGCAGCTGGGTGGATCTCGACAGTAATGTCGGGATCAGTCTCGGCTGCGGCGGTCTTCCTCGGTGCCTGGGGGAGGGATTGCTTCCTCGGTGCCTGGGGGAGGGATTGCTTCCTCGGTGCCTGGGGGAGGGATTGCTTCCTCGGTGCCTGGGGGAGGGATTGCTTCCTCGGTGCCTGGGGGAGGGATTGCTTCCTCGGTGCCTGGGGGAGGGATTGCTTCCTCGGTGCCTGGGGGAGGGATTGCTTCCTCGGTGCCTGGGGGAGGGATTGCTTCCTCGGTGCCTGGGGGAGGGATTGCTTCCTCGGTGCCTGGGGGAGGGATGGCGCCACAAGAACTATTAATGCAAACCAAGGGCCACTGTTGTAAGTGTCCCAGCACCTGATATGCATATGCTTGTTTCAGGTTAATGACTCTATTAGGCAGTAAAGAAACATGACACTAGCACCCTTTCAGCTCCTACATTGAAGAATAAGTCAGCAATACGTGTATAACTTATACATAATATTTCAGTTCAGCTCCCAGTCTGTGCTTTTTATTGTTCTGTTTTACCTTGAAGATCCATTAATCCCAGTTTGGATCCCATTCAGGCAGTGTAGGGTTAATGATGCTCGGCACTGTGCTTGTTGGTTATAGATCTGCAGCCAGCATAGCAGTGTAGAAACTTTTCTTCCTGTAGTGTGCTGTTACTATGAGAGGCATTACCTGTGTGTGCGAGCTGAAGCCTTTGTGTGTTTGTTTTATGTCTTTGGACACCTCATGCTGGCAGAAGAATGTGTGTTTACATTAAATTCCACTCCCAGGAGTTCCGTGTGCTTACTCTGCTAATCACCATCCTAGTTCTTTTTCACATGGAATCAACACTCCTACATACTCCCTATACTTTGCGATCAGTATATGGGAAATTCCTCTGATGCCATGCCTTTTCAGGAAGTATGTTCAGGGGCTGTCATCCTTATTCCTTCAGCCACAGATCTTATACATGTATAGGTGTTCTAGGTGTCTCAGTACCTTATATGCACATACTTGTGTGTATCCTTTGTCCTCTTCCTGTGTTATCTCAAAGAGCCCCCCTAGTGCTTTTGTTTAATTACGGAATGATTAGCCCTTATGTTGTAGAGATCTCAGTGTGGGAGTGGTTGAGTATTTTAGCAACAGATACTGGGCAGGGCTGACACCACTCAGTCTACCAAAAAGCTGTGCACCTATAACATGCTTCCTAGCCATAGCTTATTCTAGCTAATTCTTAGGGCTGGACTGGACATATCCCAGGGGTCAGGTAGCCAATGTTGCTTAAAAATGACAGCAGGCATCCAACTTTTGAGGTTTTCTTTAATTGCTAGTAATGGAGCTTGGCTCCTGTTTTCTGTATTCATCTGTCCACCCCTGACGTCCTCAAGTTGGTGTGTCCTGTCCTGTCACTAGGAGCATGCATGAAAGTGTGGGTACAATGGGGGGGATATAGGACACTGCCAGCCAAGGGCCACCTTTGGGGTCAGCTTTAAGGAGATCAGATAAAACTGCAAGGAAACATTTCAAACATGCTGGAGCTCATTAGAAGTCTGGACTTTTAGCTGCTGTAAAACACTTAAAAGTTTGGATCCCCTTAATTGTTTGGGTTTTTTTTGTTTGTTTTTTTAGGATTAACATTGGACCTTTTTATTATGATCAAACTGAGGTGAGTGTAGGGTAAAAGAACAACTCCAGGTATACAAAACGTTAACATAATGGGGCAACTTCCACACTGCAAGGGTTAATTTCTGCAGAAAAAGCAGCAGTTAACCCTTGCAGTGCGGGGGTAGCCCCACTGCAAGGGTTAACGTTGTAGATTCCTGGAGTTCCTTTTTAATAAAACTCACCACTGTGCTTCATGCATACAGATCAGCAGCTTAGGGTACCGGTCCAGAAGCTTCTCTTACTGCAGTGTCCTAATCCTTTGATCTCTCCAGATACCAGGGATAAACTTCTGTGTTCTACGCACATACTGTAGGGGATCACAGAGTAGAATCCAGCTGCTGGGAGTATTTCTGCGCTCTAACGTTGGAGCTGCAGGTTAGATGAAAAGGAGCACAGAGGCGAGTGTAATTACCACCGTACAATGACTTTAATCTCATGCACAGGTGAGGGCCTCATATACTTGAGGGTCTCATATTAAGTGCCACAGAGGGAACGATGGGTGTTAACGATTTGTATGAAAGTGACATTAAACCCTCAGATTTTTTAACATAAGCCAATACTGTAATGTGTGCCTTACTGTAATCCATGGCTGTTTCCCTTCTCTTTGCTGCTCTTCCTTTTAAATCTGTATCTGTTCTCGTGCTGGGCAGAACTTATTTTTTGCAGCAGACTGCTTTGTCTCTGAAAGGGATACATGGTGTCTGTGTGTTGGTTTGAAACCTGAGCCAGCACTACAGGAAGAGGCACTCAGCTGAAAAGGGAAGTTCTCCCCAAGCATGAGAAGACATCAGGATTTAAAAGGAAGAGCAGCAAAGAGAAGGGAAACTACCATGGATTACAGTAAGGCACACATTACAGTATTGGTTTATGTTAAAAAATCTGAGGGTTTAATGTCACTTTAAATCGATTCATATAGATGGCTGCTCAATAAACTGTTTGCTTGGCTTTACTCTGCTGAAAAGCATCCGGTCTGGATAGAAATTTGAGAGCTGCTGACTTGTTGAAGCTGCTTGTTCAGTCTGCTGTGATGCTGCAACCTTCATCCCTTAGAATGCCATCACCATGTCGGCAATCTCTCTGTGGAACCTCCTTCTAATAGATGGGTTTAACTGAGGCTGGGAAAAGCTATGCGTTCCAATACAACAGAAGTTTTGTTTTATAAAAGTCTGTTTTATTGTTTGAAATGAGCCAACACGGTTTGGAGGATCGAGCAAACTAACTGCATCAGGGCTGGTGGGGTATTGTAGCCATTTTCTGCAGGGCAGAGATACTTTGTGAAGGATGCAGTGTGCACACATCAGAATATGTCTGTAAATATCAGCCTTTCATGTGGTGACTTTGCATCGAGAGCTGCCTGTTACACCCATCTAAGATCTGGAACTAGAAACGACACTGTTACAGTGATCCGCTGCTGTCATCTAACCAGATTGGATGCTTTAGAATAGTATCTGGTGGAATGTCATTAGTTGCAAAGAACAACACACTTTGCTGGGCTTCATTATTAGTGATTAGTGTAGTATCTATAGACAGGACTGAAAGGGAGCCCAGTCATTTCAAATCAGTAGAACATATCACGAGACAAAGGCACCAGATTCATCCGCTGTAAAAGCCTGGGTCAATGTAGCAAGTCTGCTAATTCAGGTAATGTATTATTCACATAAATGTAGTATGGGAGATAGTCGCTGGCATGGGGCACTTCTCTATACTTAGCACCAAAGGATAACTGCTTTGTGCTTTTGTGCATAAACTTTTTATTGAAGTTTTCAAAACAGAAATAACAAACATGAGTCTAATAGATGCAGCATTGTAGTGTAGTGCAATCCATGGTGTGTGTGTGTCAGTTGAATAGTGCCATGTCGTCGATGTGTGTGTGAGAGGAATGGTGCCCCGTCGTCGTGTGTGTGAGAGGAATGGTGACCCGTCGTCGTGTGTGTGTGATGAATGGTGACCCGTCGTCGTGTGTGTGTGAGGACTGGTGCCACTCCCCCGTCGTTGGTGTGTGTGTGTGACAGGAATGGTGCCCCCGTCGTTGGTGCGTGTGTGTGACAGGAATGGTGCCCCCGTCGTTGGTGTGTGTGTGTGAGAGGAATGGTGCCCCCTTCGTTGGGGCGTGGGTGTGTGGAATGGTGCCCCCCGTCGTTGGCATGTGTGAGGAATGGTGCCCCCATTGTGTGTGTGGAATTGTGCCCCTGTCGTTGGTGTGTGACAGGAATGGTGCCCCCTTCGTTGCTGTGTGTGTGTGTGGGGAATGGTGCCCACGTCGTGTGTGTGTGTGTAAAAAGGAATGGTGCCCCAGAAACAGTTAGATGCAAACAAAGTGCAGCAGTTTGAGGGCCACTTTTCTAAGTGTCCCATCACTTAAAATGCATCCAGATTCCAACAACTGGAACACCAGGTGCTGACCATCTGAGCTTGTTTCAGTTCCACAGAAACTTTTGAAGAACAAATGATTGGATCTCCAGCACCCTCATTGAGCAGAAATTAGAATTAGTAGAACAATATAAGTCCATGTTGCAATCCCAGACTAGGCCCCACCCCTCTTAATGTGTTTCACTCACCGGGGTTTATTTGTAGAGATGCCAATCTAAGCACTGACGTGATGAAACCAGACATGTGACCGTTTGTTCTTTTGAAGACTCTGGCAGTGGGTTACACATTTTGGGAGGTGAGGAAGCACAGAAAGAAGCAGACACCCTAGCTGGAGCTGTGGTGTGGTGACCTCTTACATGTGGGACTTCCAAAACGTCACCATTTGTGAAACCAATTAAAGGTTGTTTTTTTGTTTTGTTTGG